TGTCTACATGTACCTGTGTCTCTGTGTCTATATGTACCTGTGTCTCTGTGTCTATATGTACCTGTGTCTCTCTGTGTCTATATGTACCTGTGTCTCTCTGTGTCTATATGTACCTGTGTCTCTCTGTGTCTATATGTACCTGTGTCTCTCTGTGTCTATATGTACCTGTGTCTGTGTCTATATGTACCTGTGTCTCTGTGTGTCTATATGTACCTGTGTCTGTGTGTCTATATGTACCTGTGTCTGTGTCTACATGTACCTGTGTCTCTGTGTCTACATGTACCTGTGTCTCTGTGTCTACATGTACCTGTGTCTCTGTGTCTACATGTACCTGTGTCTCTGTGTCTACATGTACCTGTGTCTCTGTGTCTACATGTACCTGTGTCTCTCTGTGTCTATATGTACCTGTGCTCCTCTCTTGTTGCTGGTCCATGTTCCTTTTGAGTTATGTTAATCCACTGGACATTTTTTTTACCAACATTAAATCATTATTTTTTTTCATGTCTGCATTTAGTGTCCTCTGTGACAAAATATAATATACAGTGTCTTGCGAAAGTATTTGGCCCCCTTGAACCTTTCAACATTTTGCCACATTTCAGGCTTCAAACATAAAGATATAAAAATTATTTTTTTGTCAACAATCAACAACAAGTGGGACACAATCATGAAGTGGAACAAAATTTATTGGATTTTAAAAACTAAAATAAAAAACTGAAAAGTGGGGCGTGCAATATTATTCGGCCCCTTGCGCTAATACTTTTGTAGCGCCACCTTTTGCTGCAATTACAGCTGCAAGTCGCTTGGGGTATGTCTATCAGTTTTGCATATCGAGAGACTGGAATTCTTGTCCATTCTTCCTTGCAAAACAGCTCGAGCTCAGTGAGGTTGGATGGAGAGCGTTTGTGAACATCAGTCTTCAGCTCTTTCCACAGATTCTCGATTGGATTCAGGTCTGGACTTTGACTTGGCCATTCTAACACCTGGATACGTCTATTTGTGAACCATTCCATTGTAGATTTGGCTTTATGTTTTGGATCATTGTCTTGTTGGAAGATAAATCTCCGTCCCAGTCTCAGGTCTTTTGCAGACTCCAACAGGTTTTCTTCCAGAATGGTCCTGTATTTGGCTCCATCCATCTTCCCATCAATTTTAGCCATCTTCCCTGTCCCTGCTGAAGAAAAGCAGGCCCAAAGCATGATGCTGCCACCACCATGTTTGACAGTGGGGATGGTGTGTTCAGGGTGATGAGCTGTGTTGCTTTTACGCCAAACATATCGTTTTGCATTGTGGCCAAAAAGTTCAATTTTAGTTTCATCTGACCAGAGCACCTTCTTCCACATGTTTGGTGTGTCTCCCAGGTGGCTTGTGGCAAACTTTAAACGAGACTTTTTATGGATATCTTTGAGAAATGGCTTTCTTCTTGCCACTCTTCCATAAAGGCCAGATTTGTGCAGTGCACGACTGATTGTTGTCCTATGGACAGACTCTCCCACCTCAGCTGTAGTTATCTGCAGTTCATCCAGAGTGATCATGGGCCTCTTGGCTGCATCTCTGATCAGTCTTCTCCTTGTTTGAGATGAAAGTTTGGAGGGACGGCCGGGTCTTGGTAGATTTGCAGTGGTCTGATACTCCTTCCATTTCAATATAATTGCTTGCACAGTGCTCCTTGAGATGTTTAAAGCTTGGGAAATCTTTTTTTATCCAAATCCGGCTTTAAACTTCTCCACAACAGTATCTCGGACCTGCCTGGTGTGTTCCTTTGTCTTCATGGTTCTCTCTGTGCTTTAAACAGAACCCTGAGACTATCAAAGAGCAGGTGCATTTATACGGAGACTTGATTACACACAGGTGCATTCTATTTATCATCATCAGTCATTTAGGACAACATTGGATCATTCAAAGATCCTCACTGAACTTCTGGACTGAGTTTGCTGCACTGAAAGTAAAGGGGCCGAATAATATTGCACGCCCCACTTTTCAGTTTTTTATTTGTTAAAAAAGTTTAAATTATCCAATACATTTCGTTCCACTTCACGATTGTGTCCCACTTGTTGTTGATTCATGACAAAAAATTTAAATTTTATATCTTTATGTTTGAAGCCTGAAATGTGGCGAAATGTTGAAAGGTTGAAGGGGGCCCACTGTAAATACAACAAACACAGTATTTATACTCATCCATTCTTTACAACGTAGACTCTTGGGACAAATATTAAAACATTCAAGTCATGTTTATTGATATGGTTTGGTTATAGAAATGATTCTCAACAGCGAGTAACTAAACAAAAAACAAGTGCGTAATACTTTTCTGTGATAAAGCAGAAAAACAGAAGCATGGACAGAAACGGAGCTTATTCGCGGTGAAAGATGCAAAAAGAACGAGATGAACATCGTGTCCATGTGCTGCAGGAGGCCCGCTCTCAGCCACAGAGTCTACTTCCTCTTTCACAAACTTACTTTCACAAGTGCTAAATAAAAACTGGTAGTTTACGGAGACAGATGTTCGGAAAGGCACATTTAGAAAAAGAAATAACATAGAAAATATAGAAAAATACAATCTTATAGATCTACTTTTCAGCATACATGTACATTAAGTATTTGGCCCTGGGTAAAGTTTTGTAAAAATAGTCTGAGAATTTAAAAGTATCTCCAGAAAGCAGACAAATCTCTCTCTGTGGTACCATTTGGACGTTTGTAAACTGTTAACACATATGTTGACATTATTGGAATTTCACACAGACAAGACACCACCTTCAAAACCTATTTTTAAAGTCTCCAGCTTTCACCCTGAAACAATAGCAGGAGGCGCTCGTCCGCCCCCTGGTGGTCGCTTCTTGCATGTACAGCTTCTACGTGCGACAGTCATTTAAAGAATGCATGATGGGAAAGCTTAGTCACGTCACACACTTTTGGACACGTGATCTATCCACATGTCAGCTTTAAAGAACTTTTAACAATACCAGCAAAACATTAGGATTCAGCAGAAGAAGAAAGTGCTGTGAATGTATTCAGCAAAGGAGGGGTAAACTAGGACAGACATGTCCAGAGACCAAACTTTACCAAACTGTGCTATCGTTGGTGGCCCTGTGCTGCTAACACAAAGTAGCTATTAAGGTGCATTCACAGTGTCATCCAGCCAACTTCAGCTCCACCATAGTCACGCTACACTTCCATGTAAAGCTCAGACCCTTTCAATCCAGTCCATAACATCAGGACAGTGACGAGGATCCAGGACGTTTATAATCGTCTTATCGACGTTTAATGGTGTTTTCATTGCATTTCCTGTGTTTGAACTGTTGGATTCTCTGATCTGTTGTTGGCGAATTGACAACTTTGTGAAGTCCTCTGTGATAACTACTGTTGTAATTTAGGGGGATACAAAGTAAATTGAATTGAATAACTTGAATACTATGTATATACTGAATGCTAATGTGGCTGAATGCTAATGTAGCTAAATGCTAATGTAGCTAAATGCTAATGTAGCTCTGGCGTGCATCATACACATATTATACTCTATTTAAAGGTGGCCCTGTAACTAAAAGGTTTGGACACCCGAGATAAGGAAACAATTGTGATTGAACATTTATGAATTATCTACAAAACTGATAAAAACAAGATAAAATGAATTCCTTCAACAGAGAAATTGGCCAAAAAAACAGCCGTTTGTGCAAAAACTGATAAGAAAAAGAGCTTCCAGAACGAGGAGGAACATGTGGAAGAGAACGACGGTTTGTTCATGTTTGTGGTCGCGATTCACAAATACTGAAAAGATCCAAGTTCTTTGCAACAACAAAAAAGACTAAAAACGAGCAGTGAGTGAACCGTCGCACACAGGACTGTCTCTCGTTGATGAGGAATTTTTCTGAAACTACCAGAACTCCCATTTATACCAATGGAATTCTGCAACAACCATGAAATTAAAAGTAAGTGATTTATTTACTCACTTTTTATACGAGCTAAAACTGGTTAACATAACTTGAAATACAGCAAAAAACAGTAAGGCTAAGGCTAACTGCTAATGCAGGGTGTTGCTATGGTAACCAGCAACCAGAGCCATTCCAGGACCTTTAACAGCCACGGGACCAAAAAACAGTAATATTTGAATTTTAAAAACAAATGAATGAAGCAGTCAAAATGACGGCTCTGGGAGTTAAGAAGGTAGAAGTAAAGATAATATCATAAGAATAATTATATAGATATTAACTATATAAAGATAGAGAAACAAATCTGAAGACCACATATGTATGATGAGTAATTACGCTTATAAAAGTCAAAGCCGTCAAATTGACTGCTCTGGGAGTTTCTTGTTTTAAAAGGGTGACAGTGGCTCTGTTGGGTTGTGGGTTGGAGCCAGTGGGGTTAAGTACCGGCTCAAAAAGGCTCAGAAAAGCTGGCTTCTGGTCGGTGAAGAAACACAAGTATCCAATTCATTCTTATGGCGACCTTTTTCTTTTCAAAATTGGGCGTTACGGACTGGTCCAAAAGTGAAGTTCCAGACCAGCCTAGTTTAACCGCTGTGGACTTTTGAATTAACGCATTTTGTCAACCATTTTATCAGCGGCTTTTCTCCATTTTCCTGTGGGAGGGGCTACAGTCGGCCATTTTGAAAAGGAGGTGACGGCGAAGGAAATGGGCGTCAGTACATCAGCTGATATTTACAGACTACGATTCAAGCTCAACGCCAGACCTTCTCCAACGACTCTCCCACTGATGTCTGACACTTAACCCCACTTTGCCTGAAGCCCCCCACGGAAAGATCAAGGCCGTGCTCTCAAGATTTGTGCGAGGCAGCTCTGATCGCAACCGTACAGACTGCAAAATGGATTAAGGGGTTGAAAATGGAGGATGGAAGATTTTAAACATCTAAAAAATGGCATCACAATTAACGTGAGGTGAGAAAAATAAGAGATGAAGCCAGAACGGTGCGGCCGACATGATCCAAACAGCACCAATACCGAGTGGTTTTTACAGTTTGTGATGTGAGCTCTGAGGTCTGTGTGTTTCTAATTATCGTCGTCATCATCGCTAACGAAGGTGCGGCCGTCGTGGCTCTTGTCTCGCTCCTGCACGAACGTCTGCCTGATGGCCTCCAGCTCGCTCAGCTCCAGACGCACTCTCTCCAGGTGGAAGGAGCGCCGGCTCTGGATCTGCCTCATGGGGAAAGGGTTCATGTCCACGAACGCCATCGTCATCAGCTTCCTACAGGACGGAGGAGGAGGCAGGTTTATCTGTATGGCACAGTTTATGCACAAGGGGACTTAAAGAGCTGAACAGAGAGACGATAGTGAACTGGATGTATTAGCAAAAATTAAATACACGCACACACGGTATAAAACAGCTCGCATATAAAGCATAATACGTCTCCTTTAAAGCTGGAGTACGTAATATGAAAATAAACAAATTAACTATTTGGACACGTACTGGTGCATTGGCATTGATTGTACAATAACACACACACACACACACACACACACACACACACACACACACACACACACACACACACACACACACACGTTTATATTACATAGTGGTTAGTGTATAAGAGTGACGGTACCCAAGCTCTTATCATAACCACTTTTGACCACCAGAGGGAGTCCTTCCACCCCACTGTGCACTGCTGCCTTCTTCCTGTATCTGAAATAGAAAATGATGGGCCTCACCTTGAGTCGAGAATGGTGCTGGTGAAATACCGCAGATATTTAAAGATGGTGGTGGAATCCTGCAGCTTCAAAAACTCCTCCTCTTTGTATTTGAAAAGTGCTAGAGCCGAACGGAATATGATCTAAGGACAACAAAGATTTACTGCAACAGAAGTATTCAGCATTATAAAGAAGCAGAAATAAAATCTCTAGCTTTAGCATAATAAAGAAGCTAGTATAAAACCTCTAGCTTTAGCATAATAAAGAAGCTAGTATAAAATCTCTAGCTTTAGCATAATAAAGAAGCTAGTATAAAATCTCTAGCTTTAGCATAATTCAGAAGCTAGTATAAAATCTCTAGCTTTAGCATAATAAAGAAGCTAGTATAATATCTCTAGCTTTAGCATAATAAAGAAGCTAGTATAAAATCTCTAGCTTTAGCATAATAAAGAAGCTAGTATAATATCTCTAGCTTTAGCATAATAAAGAAGCTAGTATAAAATCTCTAGCTTTAGCATAATAAAGAAGCTAGTATAAAATCTCTAGCTTTAGCATAATAAAGAAGCTAGTATAAAATCTCTAGCTTTAGCATAATAAAGAAGCTAGTAGAAATCTTGTGCTAGTGCCATATATAGTTGTATGTACACATTGGTACATGTGAGCAGCTCCTCTCGGCTCCGTACCTTTGGGCCCTCGTATAGAAAGGCGTCCCAGATCTTGAAGAGGATGTCGCTGACCACGCTGTCCACGAAAACCACCAGGAACCAGTTAAAGGTGATGAGGGAGAAGTCCACCTTGTGCAGCTCGAAGTGAGCGTGAAGCCGCGGCAGCTTCTCACTCATCAGGTCCTTGAACACGCGCTGGTCCACCTGGAAACACGGTCAAACTCCATTCATGAAAGCATTCCAATCATGTCAATGTAGACTGAAAATATATTATTATTTACCTGTGAACCGAGCAGAGTTTTGGTGTAGTAATCTCTGGGCATGAACACTTCTACGATGGCGATAAGTGTCCAGAAGGCGTCCTCTTGGTCCAGATAGAGCAGAGCAATGGCAGCCAATCTGGAATAACAGTAACAATAGTAACAGTAGTAGTAGTAGTAACAGTAGTAGTAACAGTAGTAGTAGTAGTAGTAACAGTAGTAGTAGTAGTAGTAACAGTAGTAGTAGTAGTAACAGTAGTAGTAGTAACAGTAGTAGTAGTAGTAGTAGTAGTAGTAGTAGTAGTAACAGTAGTAGTAGTAGTAGTAACAGTAGTAGTAGTAGTAACAGTAGTAGTAGTAACAGTAGTAGTAGTAGTAGTAGTAACGTAGTAGTAGTAGTAGTAGTAGTAGTAGTAGTAGTAGTAGTAACAGTAGTAGTAGTAGTAGTAGTAACAGTAGTAGTAGTAGTAACAGTAGTAGTAGTAGTAGTAGTAACAGTAGTAGTAGTAACAGTAGTAGTAGTAGTAGTAACAGTAGTAGTAACAGTAGTAGTAGTAGTAGTAACAGTAGTAGTAGTAGTAACAGTAGTAGTAGTAGTAACAGTAGTAGTAGTAGTAACAGTAGTAGTAGTAACAGTAGTAGTAACAGTAGTAGTAGTAGTAGTAACAGTAGTAGTAGTAGTAGTAACAGTAGTAGTAGTAGTAGTAACAGTAGTAGTAGTAGTAGTAACAGTAGTAGTAGTAGTAACAGAGTAGTAGTAGTAGTAGTAGTAGTAACAGTAGTAGTAGTAACAGTAGTAGTAGTAGTAACAGTAGTAGTAGTAGTACAGTAGTAGTAGTAGTAGTAGTAACAGTAGTAGTAGTAGTAACAGTAGTAACAGTAGTAGTAACAGTAGTAGTAGTAGTAACAGTAGTAGTAGTAGTAGTAACAGTAGTAGTAGTAGTAGTAACAGTAGTAGTAGTAGTAGTAACAGTAGTAGTAGTAGTAGTAACAGTAGTAGTAGTAGTAGTAGTAACAGTAGTAGTAGTAGTAGTAACAGTAGTAGTAGTAGTAACAGTAGTAGTAACAGTAGTAGTAACAGTAGTAGTAGTAACAGTAGTAGTAGTAGTGACAGTAGTAGTAGTAGTAACAGTAGTAGTAGTAGTAACAGTAGTAGTAGTAGTAACAGTAGTAGTAACAGTAGTAGTAACAGTAGTAGTAGTAGTAACAGTAGTAGTAACAGTAGTAACAGTAGTAGTAACAGTAGTAGTAGTAGTAACAGTAGTAGTAGTAACAGTAGTAGTAGTAACAGTAGTAGTAGTAGTAGTAACAGTAGTAGTAGTAACAGTAGTAGTAGTAACAGTAGTAGTAGTAGTAACAGTAACAGTAGTAGTAGTAACAGTAATAGTAGTAGTAACAGTAACAGTAGTAGTAGTAGTAACAGTAATAACAGTAGTAGTAACAGTAACAGTAACAGTAGTAGTAAGTAGTAAGTAGTTAGTAGTTAGTAGTTAGTAGGTAGTAGGTAGTAGTAGTAGTGGTAGTAGGTAGTAGGAGGTAGTAGTAGGTAGTAGTAGTAGTAATAATAATGCATCAAACTTATATAGCGCTTTTTTGGACACTCAAAGACGCTTTACAAAACACGTAGAAATAAACATTGAAAAACAAAATAAAGGAAAGGCAAGATGAAACAGGTGGGTTTTTAGGAGAGATTTAAAGTTCTGTAGTGAGTCTGAGTTTCTGACGGGTTGAGGGAGTGAGTTCCAGAGAGTGGGGGCAGCTGCAGCGAAGGCTCGGTCCCCCAAGGTATTTCAAATTACATGCGCAATACAAAAAAAAACAAAAGAAGAAACAAAAGATGATAATAATAATGCATTGGTTTTATATAGCGCTTTTTTGGACACTCTTCACATGTGTCATTATTCTCTCTCTCCAAACACGGTGGTGATGAACTACTACTTCAGCCGCAGCTGCCCTGGGGCACACTGACAGAAGCGAAGCAGCCAGTCTGTGCCATCGGCCCCTCCCACCACCACCAACCATTCACACACACACCAGACTCATTCTAATGTGGGGGAAGTGTCTTGCCTAAGGACACAACCACACTTTACACCCACTGTGGCACCTGCTGTTTAGAAGTTAAGTGTCTTGCCCAAGGACACAACAACAGCAGCAGACATCAGTGGGAGTCGGTGAAGAAAGTCTTGTGGTGGACTCGAACCCACGACCTTCAGGCTCACAGGCCAAAGCTCTACCAACTGAGCCACTGTCGCCTCAAATGAATGAACATATTATAAATACATTATTATTTTTACAGTTGCTTTCCGCGAGCCCGGCCTTTGCACTGATATGAAAATGTTTGGGGTCTTCTCACAATGTTAAGAATCGCAATCATTTTTAATTGTGGCTCAAATATTGCAATAGTATCGAAGGCCCACATTTATGCAAATTCCCAGCCCTATATTTCATATTATTCAAACACTATTCAGGTTTTGTTTTGTTTGTGTTGTGCTACAGTCTGATGAGGACCTTTAGATGTTCCAAGTTTTTCTATCTTTTTGATTGCTTTCTCTAAATGTGTCCTAAGATTTATGGCCCTGAAGATGTTTTGTTGTGTGTCAGAGAGGAACAAGGAAACATGAAGACACAGAGAAAAAGATGAATAAGATAACTCAGAAGAGGTCAATACTGTTCTTGCGTCAGTCGAGCTCCGGGGATCCAAAATGGCGGCGTATTCAAATGAATGGCTTGCATGGATCTACAATAATAACTGGATAGGGTATCACTTCAGCTATAAGCTAGTAATACCCTCTCCTGGTATTAGATTCATGGTGTCGGTCCATTTTTATTATGCTACAGTCTGATGAGGACCTTTAGTTGTTCCAAGTTTTTCTATCTTTTTAATTGCTTTCTCTAAATGTGTCCTAAGATTTATGGCCCTGAAGATGTTTTGTTGTGTGTCAGAGAGGAACAAGGAAACATGAAGACACAGAGAAACTCCATCATCATCCTCCATCTTGTACCGGTTGAGTCCCTGGCAGTATCCGATGTCGGGGTTCCTCCAGGAGAAGGCGGTCAGGACGTTGCGCAGCTTCTGGATGCCCGGGGCGCTGGGGGAGGCGTAGTGCTTGTTGTTGGGCAGAGTACGCAGCAGGTCCAGCTCGATCTGTTTGGACGCCGGGTTTGGTTTCTCTTTGGCCACGTTCAGCAAAGTCTCGTAATAATCCGGAGCGATGTGTTCCCGCAGTTTCTTGACGTGGAAAGAGACGCACCAGCGCCACAGGTGGGACCGGTGTTCGTGAGGCACTCCGCAGCGAACCAGGGCCTTGAGCTCCGGGGATCGCACCAGCGCTCGGTTCATGGTGCCGGCCAGATGGTTCTCCCACCTCACCCCCACGGACACCTCCTGGTCCGTCATCGAGAGGGACTTTAGCTCCAGCGCCCGCACCTTCGCCACCAGCTTCTCCTCCTCTTCCTCCTCCTCCGGGACGGTCTTAAAGCCGAACACGTCATATTCACTGAAACACACAAAAGTAGAAAGTATTGGGTTTATTTAGAGCTTTTCAAGTCTCTTCACATGTGTCATTCATTCGCTACAAACACTGTGGTGATAAACTACTACTGTAGCCACGGCTGCCCTGGGACACACTGACAGAAGCGAGGCAACCAGTCTGTGTCATCGGCCCCTCCCACCACCACCAACCATTCACACACACACCAGACTCATTCTAATGTGGGGGAAGTGTCTTGCCTAAGGACACAACCACAGTTTGTCACTTTACAGCCGCAGCCGCCCCACTGTGGCACCTGCTGTTCCCAGAGGTCTCCCGTCACAGCACGAACCAGGCCCTGCCCTGCTTAGCTTCAGAGATCTCGCGGGATCTGGATTTCAGATGGAGGTATTGGTTTAGCCCTGAGATAGCGAACAACAAAAATAATGTAGGGAAGTAAATAAGAGATAATACATAAATGGTGGGATGTGCGGTATAGAAAGCGTCCTGTACAGAAAAAATGCTTGAGGATGTAGCTCTCTGTCGCCCCCTACTGTTAACTCTGGTAAAATGGCTGAGAGAAACACGGCTAATTATTGATGTTGCACAATTACACTGGTTTGATGTATCATGAGTTAAAGCTAAAATAATATCCTGTGATTATATATTCAGTATCAAGTATTTCATATTTGTATAAAGTGGACTCGTCTTCAGGTTAAAGGCCAGAAAAACATACAGCTCACATCCAGGACTATTGTTACTGCACAGAGCTGAGGAGCGAGTCTGAACCTGCAGATAGTGTGCAGCTACACCCAAACAGGCCGATAGTCAGGTGTGGTGACAGTGACAGTGACAGAGACCTGTTCACACCATGGACTGTAAATATTAACGGACGTAGTGACGCCCATCTCTGTCGTTCTAATCATGGATCTATAATAATAACTGGATAGAGTATTACAAGCTTATAGCTGTCCCACCCATGGCCACAGGGGGCGCTGTGGTACTGCAGACTAAATTCACGTGGGCTACTCAGAAAAAAGTCCCATAAAACTCAATGTTAATTAAAACAGCTCGACCTCAGCTGACATTTAGCCCCACAGGCCTGGGGTGGTACTGCAGCAGATCAGAGCATGTCATTTTGGACCTCTCTCCTACTCCTCTCTCCTACTCCTCTCTCCTACTCCTCTCTCCTACTCCTCTCTCCTACTCCTCTCTCCTACTCCTCTCTCCTACTCCTCTCTCCTACTCCTCTCTCCTACTCCTCTCTCCTACTCCTCTCTCACGCACCTCCTCCCTCCTTCTCCTCTCTCACGCACCTCCTCTCTCCTCCTCTCTCACACACCTCCTCTCTCCTCCTCTCTCACGCACCTCCTCTCTCCTCCTCTCTCACGCACCTCCTCCCTCCTCCTCCTCTCTCACACACCTCCTCTCTCCTCCTCCTCCTCTCTCCTCCTCCTCCCTCCTTCTCCTCTCTCACACACCTCCTCTCTCCTCCTCTCTCACGCACCTCCTCCTCCTCCTCCTCCTCTCTCACGCACCTCCTCTCCTCCTCTCTCACCACACACCTCCTCCCTCCTCCTCCTCTCTCACACACCTCCTCTCTCCTCCTCCTCCCTCCTTCTCCTCTCTCACACTCCTCCTCTCTCCTCTCTCTCTCCTCCTCTCTCACACACCTCCTCTCTCCTCCTCTCTCTCACACACCTCCTCTCTCCTCCTCCTCTCTCACACACCTCCTCTCTCCTCCTCTCTCTCCTCCTCTCTCACACACCTCCTCTCTCCTCCTCTCTCACACACCTCCTCTCTCCTCCTCCTCTCTCACACACCTCCTCTCTCCTCCTCTCTCACACACCTCCTCTCTCCTCCTCCTCTCTCACACCCTCTCTCTCCTCCTCTCTCACACACCTCCTCTCTCCTCCTCCTCTCTCACACACCTCCTCTCTCCTCCTCCTCCTCCCTCCTTCTCCTCTCTCACGCACCTCCTCCTCCTCTCTCACGCACCTCCTCTCTCCTCCCTCCTCCTCCTCTCACCTGACAGTGTGAGGCTTGAGCTGCAGCTGGTCGCTCTCGGGGCCCTCTCCCTGCAGAGCGTCCTCCAACAGTCGGGAGATGACGTCAGGAGCCGCTCTCTGCTCCGAGGAGCCGCACACCGGGGTCTTCACCTCCTGCAGCAGCACCAGGTACTTACTCTCCACCTGACACAGCCGGGCCTCCAGCGCCGTGTACTGCAACAGACACACACACTTTAACACAACTCCCACGGCAGTCAATTTGACGGCTGGTCGAATGGTGTTAGTCTGGTGTTCCTAACTTTGAGACTTCTTCTGTTTGTATGTAGTTCAATTCTATGTCATTATTTTTCATGGAATTCTCTTTTTTATGCAAGTAGTTAGAAAGATAGATACTTTATAGATAGAGATTTTAGAGATCCCGTAGTAGTTCTACCATTATCTATCCTTTGTTCCTGGTTGTTTTCCACCAGAGGAGAGCCAGTGCTGGTTACCGTAGCAACAAACTGTTTACTGCCAGTAGTTAGCATTTAGCCTTTAGCAATAGCATTTCATCAAACTGTTTTTTTTCTGTAACGTTATATTCACAGGTCTTACTTAAAACTCATAAATGACTTAAATTTGGAGAAAATCCAAAAATGTTTGTGGGAATTGTGTCTTGCTGTTAAACGTACCTTTGCCTCCAGAGTCTTCTCTCTGCTCTCAGCGTTTTGCCGTAACACGGTCAGCTCCAGAATCTCCTTGTTCAGAAACTTGTTCTGTGTTTTGTATCCCTGCAGACTGTCCTGGAGGATAACACAGGATTAAAACACAGGGTTAAAACACTGGGTTAAAACACACGGTTAAAACACAGGGTTAAAACAGAGGGTTATAACCAAGCCCCGGCGATCCAAGATGGCGGCCTATTCAAATGAATGGTTGTGCTCAGTGGCGCTTTGTGACGGCATGGGGGCTGAAAGATTAGCGGAAGTCGCCTGGAACTCGCAAAGATCTATGGGAAACTCTCCTGTATTTGGGCATCGTCTGGTCCTCCCGGTTCTGTGCAGTGGATGATCTCCCATAATGCATTGCTCCAAACACTTGTGTGTGGGTCTCACACCAGGTCTCACGCACGTGCACAGAGGGGCTCGGCCACGCTCTGACCAATCAGAGCAGTTCATCAGAGCGGGAGTTAGAGCGAGAGCCAGAGGAGCAGAGTTTGTGGCACTAAAGTGTGGATTTAAACAAATCCGAAGGATTTAAGAAGAAAAAAAGTTCAGGATGACAAGGGACACTAAAATCCCCACAAAATCTGACCTTTATGAAAGCTGTAGGTTCTGTCAGGACCTCTGTCAGGACCTCTGTCAGGACCTCTGTCAGGACCTCTGTCAGGACCTCTGTCAGGACCTCTGTCAGGACCTCTGTCAGGACCTCTGTCAGGACCTCTGTCAGGACCTCTGTCAGGACCTCTGTCAGGACCTCTGTCAGGACCTCTGTCAGGACCTCTGTCAGCTGAGGTTGAGCTGTTTTAATATGTGCATTGAGTCCTATGGGGAAAATTTCTGGGTAGCCCACGTGACCTTAGTCTGGTTCAGTCTGGTTCAGTCTGGTTCAGTCTGCAGTACCGCGAGAATCCCCCGAGCACATGAGTTCTTCAGCTCCAAGCTGTAATACCCTATCCAGTTAATATAATAGATCCATGGTTATAACACAGGGTTCAACAGGGAAACAGACAAAAGAGCGTCAGGTTTCAGATGATCAATTATCTCTGTCAGTAATGGTTCTATTCTATCACAGAGTAACATCTGTCAGTGTTGGTTCTGTTCTATCACAGAGTAACATAATCTGTCAGTGTTGGTTCTGTTCTATCACAGAGTATCATAATCTGTCAGTAATGGTTCTGTTCTATCACAGAGTAACATCTGTCAGTAATGGTTCTGTTCTATCACAGAGTATCATAATCTGTCAGTAATGGTTCTGTTCTATCACAGAGTAACAATCTGTCAGTGTTGGTTCTGTTCTATCACAGAGTAACATCTGTCAGTAATGGTTCTGTTCTATCACAGAGTAACATAATCTGTCAGTAATGGTTCTGTTCTATCACAGAGTAACATAATCTGTCAGTAATGGTTCTGTTCTATTACAGAGTAACATAATCTGTCAGTAATGGTTCTGTTCTATCACAGAGTAACATCTGTCAGTAATGGTTCTGTTCTATCAGAGTAACATAATCTGTCAGTAATGGTTCTGTTCTATCACAGAGTAACATAATCTGTCAGTAATGGTTCTGTTCTATCACAGAGTAACATCTGTCAGTAATGGTTCTGTTCTATCAGAGTAACATAATCTGTCAGTAATGGTTCTGTTCTATCACAGAGTAACATAATCTGTCAGTAATGGTTCTGTTCTATCACAGAGTAACATAATCTGTCAGTAATGGTTCTGTTCTATCACAGAGTAACATAATCTGTCAGTAATGGTTCTGTTCTATTACAGAGTAACATAATCTGTCAGTAATGGTTCTGTTCTATCACAGAGTAACATCTGTCAGTAATGGTTCTGTTCTATCACAGAGTAACATAATCTGTCAGTAATGGTTCTGTTCTATCACAGAGTAACATCTGTCAGTAATGGTTCTGTTCTATCACAGAGTAACATATTCTGTCAGTAATGGTTCTGTTCTATCACAGAGTAAACAGCAACCTGCAGAACACGGACGTCGCTCTCGCGGCTGTAGGAGGGGGACCCCGCCTCGCTCTGGCCCGCCTCAGAGCTCGGCTCCTGGGACAGCTTCATGATGACCTGGTCCTTGGCCTGGATGGTCTCCATCATCATCCCCAGCTGCTCGTTCATCTCTCCCACTTTCAGCTTCAGTCCCTTCAGCTCCTGCTGCAGACTGTCCTTCTCCAGAGCCAGGCGCTCCATGTGTCCACACAGAGACTGCACCTGCGCCTCTCTGTCCAGCAGGAGGCGCTCTGTCTCTGGGGTCACTGTGGGCGTCTGCTCACAGCTGTTTGTGTCTGAGGTCAGGGATCCTCCACGTAAAGATGTGACATCACACTGAGACGTCCTCAGCGTCTGCTGCAGAAGCCGCACCAGCTCCTGTGGGAAGAACAAACATCGGTGTGAAAGACTTAAGTGAACTGTTTATATTATTATTATTTAAGATTGAGTTTTTATACTTGTTATTGATGCTAGACTTAGAGATTTTGTTTTATTTTAATTAGTATAGCTATTGTTTACCTCTCTTTCCTACTGTCCTATAACTTATGATACAACACAGAAATGTCCCCACGGTGAGACGAATAAGGATCTCTTCATCTTAATATCACACTTTAGACTTTTCTCTGCTTTAGACTTCATTACAGAGTAGTTTGGCCCAGAGTAGTTTGGCCCAGAGTAGTTTGGCCCAGAGTAGTTTGGCCCAGAGTAGTTTGGCCCAGAGTAGTTTGGCCCAGAGTAGTTTGGCCCAGAGTAGTTTGGCCCAGAGTAGTTTGGCGCAGAGTAGTTTGGCGCAGAGTAGTTTGGCGCAGAGTAGTTTGGCGCAGAGTAGTTTGGCGCAGAGTAGTTTGGCCCAGAGTAGTTTGGCCCAGAGTAGTTTGGCCCAGAGTAGTTTGGCCCAGAGTAGTTTGGCCCAGAGTAGTTTCTCCCTCAGCTTTAGTTCGAGGCTGTGAGACCTGAGATCTGGGACCTTTAGTGATAATTCCTTTGAGTTATGGATTAGTTTCCAATGAAGTAAATAAGTCATGAAATTGCTTCTTCAGCACATTTTTCAAATTAGTGCAGAACTGATCTTTCCTGTGTTTCTCAAAGTCTGCAGCTGCTCGTGTCTTCAGTGCGCGACTTCAGAAAACTTGGTTTGTTTGTGGGAAATATTTGTGAAACCCGTTTCCTTCCTGTTTTTGGCTCGTTGCAAAACAAAACAAAACTGCAATTTCTATTTCATATATTTTTTATATATAGTTATTTACACCAATCCCCAAAACAATCCTGTGACTAATGCTACACTGGACTTGGACTGTGGTTCAATGGTCAGCCTCAGTCCTGGGTCTACACAGCCTCAGTCCTGGGTCTACACAGCCTCAGTCCTGGGTCTACACAGCCTCAGTCCTGGGTCTACACAGCCTCAGTCCTGGGTCTACAGCCTCAGTCCTGGGTCTACAGCCTCAGTCCTGGGTCTACAGCCTCAGTCCTGGGTCTACAGCCTCAGTCCTGGGTCTACAGCCTCAGTCCTGGGTCTACAGCCTCAGTCCTGGGTCTACAGCCTCAGTCCTGGGTCTACAGCCTCAGCCCTGGGTCTACAGCCTCAGTCCTGGGTCTACAGCCTCAGTCCTGGGTCTGCACAGCCTCAGTCCTGGGTCTACACAGCCTCCGTCCTGGGTCCACAGCCTCCGTCCTGGGTCTACAGCCTCAGTCCTGGGTCTACACAGCCTCAGTCCTGGGTCTACACAGCCTCAGTCCTGAGTCTACACAGCCTCAGTCCTGGGTCTACACAGCCTCAGTCCTGGGTCCACAGCCTCAGTCCTGGGTCCACAGCCTCAGTCCTGGGTCCACAGCCTCAGTCCTGGGTCTACAGCCTCAGTCCTGGGTCTACAGCCTCCGTCCTGGGTCTACAGCCTCCGTCCTGGGTCTACAGCCTCCGTCCTGGGTCTACAGCCTCAGTCCTGGGTCTACAGCCTCCGTCCTGGGTCTACAGCCTCAGTCCTGGGTCTACAGCCTCCATCCTGGGTCTTCACAGCCTCAGTCCTGGGTCTACAGCCTCAGTCCTGGGTCTACAGCCTCAGTCCTGGGTCTACACAGCCTCAGTCCTGGGTCTACAGCCTCAGTCCTGGGTCTACACAGCCTCAGTCCTGGGTCTACAGCCTCCGTCCTGGGTCCACAGCCTCCGTCCTGGGTCCACAGCCTCCGTCCTGGGTCTACAGCCTCAGTCCTGGGTCTACACAGCCTCAGTCCTGAGTCTTCACAGCCTCAGTCCTGGGTCTACAGCCTCCGTCGTGGGTCTACAGCCTCAGTCCTCGGTCTACAGCCTCAGTCCTGGGTCTACACAGCCTCCGTCGTGGGTCTACAGCCTCAGTCCTCGGTCTACAGCCTCAGTCCTGGGTCTACACAGCCTCAGTCCTGGGTCTACACAGCCTCAGTCCTGGGTCTACACAGCCTCAGTCCTGGGTCTACACAGCCTCAGTCCTGGGTCTACACAGCCTCAGTCCTGGGTCTACACAGCCTCAGTCCTGGGTCTACACAGCCTCAGTCCTGGGTCTACACAGCCTCAGTCCTGGGTCTACACAGCCTCAGTCCTGGGTCTACACAGCCTCAGTCCTGGGTCTACAGCCTCAGTCCTGGGTCTACACAGCCTCAGTCCTGGGTCTACAGCCTCAGTCCTGGGTCTACACAGCCTCAGTCCTGGGTCTACAGCCTCAGTCCTGGGTCTACACAGCCTCAGTCCTGGGTCTACGTCCTGGGTCTACAGCCTCAGTCCTGGGTCTACACAGCCTCAGTCCTGGGTCTACACAGCCTCAGTCCTGGGTCTACACAGCCTCAGTCCTGGGTCTACACAGCCTCAGTCCTGGGTCTACACAGCCTCAGTCCTGGGTCTACACAGCCTCAGTCCTGGGTCTACACAGCCTCAGTCCTGGGTCTACAGCCTCAGTCCTGGATCTACAGCCTCAGTCCTGGGTCTACAGCCTCCGTCCTGGGTCTACAGCCTCAGTCCTGGGTCTACAGCCTCAGTCCTGGGTCTACAGCCTCAGTCCTGGGTCTACAGCCTCAGTCCTGGGTCTACAGCCTCAGTCCTGGGTCTACACAGCCTCAGTCCTGGGTCTACAGCCTCAGTCCTGGGTCTACAGCCTCAGTCCTGGGTCTACACAGCCTCAGTCCTGGGTCTACACAGCCTCAGTCCTGGGTCTACACAGCCTCAGTCCTGGGTCTACACAGCCTCAGTCCTGGGTCTACAGTCTCAGTCCTGGGTCTACACAGCCTCAGTCCTGGGTCTACACAGCCTCAGTCCTGGGTCTACAGCCTCAGTCCTGGGTCTACAGCCTCCATCCTGGGTCTACAGCCTCAGTCCTGGGTCTACAGCCTCAGTCCTGGGTCTACAGCCTCAGTCCTGGGTCTACACAGCCTCAGTCCTGAGTCTACACAGCCTCAGTCCTGGGTCTACACAGCCTCAGTCCTGGGTCTACAGCCTCAGTCCTGGGTCTACAGCCTCAGTCCTGGGTCTACAGCCTCCATCCTGGGTCTACAGCCTCAGTCCTGGGTCTACAGCCTCAGTCCTGGGTCTACAGCCTCAGTCCTGGGTCTACAGCCTCCGTCCTGGGTCTACAGCCTCCGTCCTGGGTCTACAGCCTCCGTCCTGGGTCTACAGCCTCAGTCCTGGGTCTACAGCCTCAGTCCTGGGTCTACAGCCTCCGTCCTGGGTCTACAGCCTCCGTCCTGGGTCTACAGCCTCAGTCCTGGGTCTACAGCCTCCGTCCTGGGTCTACAGCCTCCGTCCTGGATCTACAGCCTCAGTCCTGGGTCTACAGCCTCCGTCCTGGGTCTACAGCCTCAGTCCTGGGTCTACAGCCCCAGTCCTGGGTCTACAGCCTCCGTCCTGGGTCTACAGCCTCCGTCCTGGGTCTACAGCCTCAGTCCTGGGTCTACAGCCTCCGTCCTGGGTCTACAGCCTCCGTCCTGGGTCTACAGCCTCAGTCCTGGGTCTACAGCCTCAGTCCTGGGTCTACAGTCTCAGTCCTGGGTCTACAGCCTCAGTCCTGGGTCTACAGCCCCAGTCCTGGGTCTACAGCCTCCGTCCTGGGTCTACAGCCTCCGTCCTGGGTCTACAGCCTCAGTCCTGGGTCTACAGCCTCCGTCCTGGGCCTAGTGTGGACCTGGGAGGTGAGCAGCTCCTCTCTGAGCTGAACTTGCTCTTGCAGAACTCGGCTCAGCTCGTCCTGCAGACTCTGGAGCCGCAGATCCACGGGTCGAGCGCCGTTACAGTCCGCCGCGGTGACGTCGGCGCTGCCTCGAGACAGTCTCCCCGTCAGCAGAGGCTTCCGGATCCGACCCGAGCTGCGGCCAAAGTCGAACGTGAAAGCCGATCCGAACGAGTCTGAAATTATATGATTAAACAGTACAAAACGAGTGAGTGAGTGAATGAGTAAGTGACCATCAAAACCTCCGACCAAACACCATCCACTCACTCGTTACATTCAGAGCTATTGTTTTTAGTGGCAGGGGAAACCGGAGCACCTGGAGGAAACCTACGCAGACACAGGGAAGACATGCAGAACTCCGCTCAGCAAGTCCTGGATTGGGAATTGAACCCAGGACCTTTGTGCAAAACCTTGGACAATATTTGGGAAAAGATTACTAATAAAATAACAAAAGTAATGTTTATTTATATAGCGCATTTTACAGACCAAAGATTTTTCCATTCTCTCCACACGATGATGACAGAAGCCAGACACCGAACACACCGGACCGTCAAAAGCTCCGACCAAACACCATCCATCCACTCGTTACATTCAGACTTATTGTGTTTTTAGTAGTAGGGGAAACCGGAGCACCTGGAGGAAACCTACATAGAATGCCAACTCCGCTCGGAAAGGCCCTGTTCCGACCGGGATTGGAACCCAGACACACTCAGCTGCTGTTTTTAAAATACCCATGATGATATTGTGTTGCCTGTGATGAATGAGTGAGTGGGAGTTGGAAGTGAAGTTAGTTGAATAATAATAATAATAATAATAATAATAACAATAACAATGCAATCCAAGACTATTGAAGCAGGGATTGAACCGGGACTTGACACAATAACATCAGTCACAGTTTATGACTCAACCATTAACTTAACAAATATGTCGTTAGTGATTTAGTTTTTTAGTAGTTAGTGATTTTAGTTTTTTTTTGTTTTTTCTAAAATTTAATTTAGTTTTAGGGCGACAGTAGCTCAGTTGGTAGAGCATTGGCCTTAAGGCCAGAAGGTCGTGGGTTCAATTCCCAC